TAAGAAGCAGTAAGTTATTACTCATTTTTGCAACCTATAAAATATGAACAAGTATTAGTCATATAGTTCAATACTAATATAGATAAAGTCCAAATCTATGTATTGGTAGCTCTCACTATTTTAATCAAATGAATATTATCAATTCAGGAAAATCATATTTTACTAGTTGGCTAGGATCCTATTTAGTTTACCATAAACTTAAGGTTAGTTTCAATAAGCCATGGTAAGTAAATTAGGTAGATAACTTGCTTATCAATCACATCTTCATGTGACTTCTAGATTAATTGGGTGATAACTCCTTGTCTAATCACATCTTATGTGATTCACCCAATCATTGCCTCTATCATTATATGATCAAGTTTTTTGCATTTGGACAATACAATGATAGTTAAGTAAGACCTATTAACCATAACACAACCTTATTTCGAATAATGACTGTTTTAAGTTTAGCTCAACAAGAAAATGTTAGTATTTGCCATTCAAGTCGAATTATATTTTGAATAAGATATTATTGTATTTGTAGTACTTTGATATTTGATATCTCATAAAGGTCTTACTTCTTTATCATTTAGCTTTTATACATATATTTCAATGTTGATGCTTTTACAATAAAGTTCTTGAAATATAAATAAAGCTTTACAAGGAAATTACAATGAGATTGCAATTATGAGATTATCATTGCATAAATGCTATATGTTCCAAAATTGTTCCTAATTGATGCTTTATTAATAAAAAGACATTGACAAAAGCTGTTGAGACTAGCACATGGTTATGCTCTTACTTATGAAGCAAACAATTGATCTCATATGTTAAAGTTTGGATAAACTTGGGCTAACATGTGGGTATTTATTTTAAGAATAAGTTCACTAAATATGACCTAGTATGAGAATGCTATATGGTAGTTCATATAGTGTTTATAGCCACATTCTCATGTCATGGTTGTATAAGTGATCCTTTGACTTAAGATTACTTATGATCTTATATGTGAATGTTATCTTTTGACTTTGCTTTACTTATGGTTCTAACTAAGAATACTCCAGTCGAGTATTATTAGATATAACATGAGGCATATGAAGATACATAAAGAAATCAAGATGAGATTCATCACCTTGTATGATCAAGGGAATGTTTCAACTAGTCTTGACTGAATTAAGACAAAAAATTTTGGCTAAAGTGAAATTAGAGTTTAGAATTATTCTAAAACTTATTTGTGAGTTAATGTTAAGAACAAGACTAAACATGGTTGAACAAGATTAAGTAGATACTAAACCATACTCAATATTCAAATCGAGATACTATGTAATGAAAGGATATTAATTATGCACTAAGACCATTCATAGATAGGTTGTCAAGTCATATTGACTTTTTTTTAACAATTAGAGGTCATGGTAGTGAAGCTAGCATTAATCGTGATCTATAAACATAAGATTGGCTAATTGGAGAATTGATAATGAAGATAAAAAGTTTGTTTCATCCATAGCCAAATACTAAGGCTTACAGTGCTTGTGTTTATTGCCAACATGCTAAAGAACCTAATGGGTCACACACAATAGGACAATTGTGAAAGATTAAAATAGAGACAAATTAAGTTGGACTTAATTTGTTTTTGATATGACCAAAAATAGAGGAAATAAAAACAAGAGAAAGAGTTTCTTTTATTTGGTATATTTGGCTAGCATAGGGTTAATTGTGAAAATTTGTATTCCAAGCAATAAACCTAATATAGCCAAATGCTTCTCTTATAAAAAGAACATTAAGCCACTCCCTCTTGAAAGAGAAAAAGAGAAAACAAATCAAGCATCTAGAGAGAAACTAAAAAAAATACAAAAGGTCTTGCAAACACTTCCTAGCTAGAGTATGGCTTTGAATTCTACCAAAACTTGTCATCAAGAAAACTAATTATCATAATCCAAATCTATTTTCATGTCTTAAAATTTCGTAGCCAAATAATAACTTTACAGTGAAAACTTTTTTGTAATATCAGTACAGCAAAATTTTCTTATTTTGGACATATTGCAAACAAAAAGTTTGTTGAACAGATAAACGATATCCAAAATCATAAAATTCAAATACAATCATCTTAAGACATTATGCTTTGATATTCTAAAAGAATCCAATCAAAATATTATAGAAAAAATTAATTTTCTAGCCTCTATATCACAACAACAGATTGCAATAAAAACAATTTTAATATCAGGAATAACCAAACAAACTTATAAATTGTATAATCTATATTGACAAGGCTCTAATAGCACTTGAATGGAATTATGCATCAATATATAGAGTTAAAGTAGCAAAATTTTTAAAATTTTAATTTCCTAAAGCCAAGAGTAATCAACGAGATGATACAAGCATAAAACTTCACAAGTATGCATAGGTTTTGGCTTAGGTGGTTACTCTGCATGCCGAAACCCTTTGACCGAATTTAGTGACCTTCTGAATAGTTTCTCAAGCTAAGAACTCTTTCTCTTGTTTTTATTTCCTCTAATTTTTTTGTCATACCAAAATAAAATTAAGTCCAACTTAATTTGTCTCAAATTTAATCTTTCACAATTATCTTATTATGTGTGACCCATTAAGTTCTTTACCATATTGGCAATAAACATAAGCATTACAAACCTTAGTGTTTAACTAAGGATGAAACAAACTCTTTGTCTTCATCACTAATTCTCCAATTAGCTAATCTTATGTTTATAGATCATGATCAATGCTAGCTTTAGTGCTATGATCCCCAATTGCTAAGGAAAAGTTAATATGGCTTGACAACCTATTTGTGAATGGTCTTACTATCTCAGTTTAAAACATTAAGTATGGCTTTTCAGTAATTTTACATCTTTTGATGTACAATCGAATTTTTAATGCATAAAAATCATAAAATAATTTTAAACATGATCTAAAGTGTTTCATAAAAGCCTAACCTCGAGAAGGTCATATTATAAAAATATTACTAAAGGATATTTTAGTAATTTCATACATTTCAAGGTGCAATCAAGGTTTTTAATACATCAAAAATTATAAAATGATATCAAATCATGATTTAAAGCTTTTCGCAAAAATTCAACCTCGAAAAGATCAAATTATGAAAATACCCCTAAAGGGCATTTTAGTAATTTCACATCTCTAAGGTACGATCAAAGTTTTTAATATACTAGTAATCATTAAATAATGTTTAAACATGATCTAAAAGTTTTTATAAAAATCAACTTTAAGAATGTCAAATTACAAAAATATCCCTGAAGGACATTTCGGTAATTTTAGCCTTCTCAAAGTGTAACTAGAGCTTTTAGTGCATTATTATCACAAATTTTAAGTAAAAGCCTTATTAGTCCTATTCAATTATGAATTTTCAAGAATGACTTGAGTTCAATCTAGTTTAGCTGATTTTGATTAAGTTTGATCAAATTTGACTTTATTTAATCAAGTTTGACCTTAAGGCATTTGGGTCAAATTGGTTATAATTTCGATGTTGAAAATTTGTCAATATTAAAGAAATGTTGAATTTGAACTAAGTTATATTTTAAAGGCTTCACAACTGGTTGGATTTTATCCGAATAAAATTAGGTATTTACAATTAACAAAAAATATTTAGTACATAAATATTTTTTTATTTAATTATAAAAAATAAATATTATCTACTTATAAAGATGTCAAATGGGTAGGGCGGCCCATAACATGCCACGATTCAGTACCGTATAAGTCATGTTTAACATGACTCATTGTTGAATAATCAAGCTAGTCCAGCACGACACACATATTAAACCCATGGGTTGGCATAACATGACTTGTTAAGGTCTAGTGCTAACACATGGCATGTGGGCTAGCATGGCACAATACACAAGCCTAAATTTGTTGTGCCATGTTGGCACATAACTACTATAAATGGGCTTATGGTTTTTGAGTGTATTCATATTATTTTTTATATTCTAATGAAATTGTATTTATTTTTTTGGTAATTTATAAAATAAAATTATATTAAATATTTAATATATTGATAGATAAATTATATCTAACTAATTTGTGAACTATTTGATGCATGAATTATTTCTATTTATTTATTTACATTCGTGAGTATAAAAATAAATTAACATTTTTTTCAAAGATATATTATGAAAATCTTCAAACTTATATATAAAAGATTTTAGTTGTAAAATAGAAAGAGAGATTGGTCATCTGGAAAGGCATAAGGAAAAACACGATATTGCATTTGCCGCTTCTAATGATCTCACACAAACTACATTTAGTTAGCATCTTAATAGGGTATTTAGGTGCATTTCATTTTTTGCAAGATAGTTGGCATAATCAATTAATTAAATTTATAATGCACTCTGAGTAACCATTTGTTTTGTAGATGATAAATGTTTTAATGTTCTAATTAGAAATGGTGTACTACCTAATTATAAAACACTTTCACGAAATACTATTAAATAAAATGCTTTTGAAATATTTTTTCTTACAAAAAAAATTTAATATCTAGTTTATAAAAACTTTCCTCTAAAATTTTGCTTACTTTTGATATATGAACTAGTTAACAAAACTTTAGTTATATGTGTTTTACTAGGTGTTTTACTAGGCATTAGACCATGATTTGTGTGTATGTGTATTTTTTTTAAATATTAAAATTATAATTTTAATATTTTTATTTAGTGAATTTTATTATCCATCTCCATGAATATATATATACGTTGCTAAACCATATAAATTATGCATTTTTTATTTGATTTTATTTTTTTTATCTCTTGCATATTATTGTTAATAATAATAGGTAATTTTTTTTTAAAATAATTAAAATTAAAAAAAAAATATTAATGAGCTATGCCTAAATTAATTTAATATAAAAAAATAATATTATACGTAGCACACGACATGACTCATAAAAATTATGTACATCTATCATGCCGAGTCATATTTTTAACTTTTATGGACGTGCCAAGATACATTAAAAAATAATACATGTATTAACATATAAATTAATATTTAAATGGTTTATGCGGCTTAACACAAACACCTCTGTTTGTGACGACGCGTGAGATTGAAAAAAAAGCAACATCTCAGCAGTACACAAACTACTCCTCGTCTCTGCCGATCATCCAAATTTTTATTAAATCAAAATCAAAATCATAGTCAAAATCAAATCTAAAGTGCTTTCCCTCTTTCCTTCTCTTTCTCTAAGCACACAAATAAGGAAAGAAGATGAAGAAAGTCTTCGGTGTTAAGAAGGACAAGGGAGCGACGCCTTCTATTCAAGATGCCACCGATAGGGTTTCGCTCTTACTCTCTATCTCCTTTACTTTTCCTATTGATTTTTAAATTTTAACTTAGTTTTAGGGTTTATCGGGTTGAATTATGGAGTTTCGTTTCAAAAATTTTGTAATCAGATAAATAAAAGAGGGGACACGGTTGATGAGAAGCTGAAGAAGCTGGATGCTGAGCTTTGCAGGTACAAAGAACAGATCAAAAGGACAAGGCCTGGCCCTACTCAAGAGGCTATTAAAGCTCGAGCCATGAGGGTTCTCAAGCAAAAACGAATGTACTTCTCTATCAAATTATCCCTTAATGATCTCATAATCATTGTCATTTAAGTCAATGATATGTTTGTTTATGGGAAATTTTATGCTTTATGAATTGTTATGTGCATACTCGATATGTTACTTGATTCAAATTTGTAGCTGAAGGTTTTTCTTTTTTTTTTTTTTTTGTCATTTCTAAATATTAAATAATTGATTATTTTAATTATCATTTATTTGGTATTTGGGGGAATATTTGTTTTATTATATGTGGTGCAATTTTTACGAATTATAGTGTTAACAAAGGTTTTTTATCAATTTTTTTTCATCATATCTGATACTTATGATATCTAGTTATGGTTAGGTATGAAGGTCAACGTGATATGCTTTACAATCAGACGTTCAACCTTGATCAAGTTGCTTTTGCTTCTGAAGGTCTTAAAGATGCTCAACACACTGTATGTGGCAGCCTTCTACTTCATTGTTATATATTCCATTCTATATATTTGAATTAGTGCAGACTTGTAGTAATTGATAAGTGTTTTTCTTCTAACATGATATCATTATTTGTTCACTTATTGATAATTGCTCATCCTGTGTGCTTTTCAAGGAGCATTGGCAGTAATTTGTACCAAATATTAAATTTTTGTTTCATGCAATAGTGGATTTATTGAGGCTATGGTATATTTACAGTAAAACATTTGTGTTTCTTGGTAGCGCCCAAATGGGCACAATTCAGGACAATTCTGGCGGAGCTTTTTCAGTTCCCTTATTGGAATCGGCTGCCTACCTCATGAGAGGTAGGAGTAACCCATTTGTTACTGGAGAGAGGTTTCTTCATTAATATGTGATTAATGATTAATAGATACCCTTAATTGTTTATTCTCATCGTGGTATGAGTTCATGCCCATAGGATATGGATGCCTTAAACATTCTTGCACAACCTGTTTGTGAACTACTTCACCTTCTTAGTAATTTTAAATTATGCTTCTTGATTGTGCCAGATGTCAGCCCTGAAATCTGCCAACACTGACCTAAAGGGAATAATGAAGACTATGAAGATTCAAGATATAGACGTCTGTACTTTCTTTATAATTTCCATGCACCATCTAGTTTTCTCTATAAAGAATTTCTTGTGATGTTTGATTCTTTTTATGTATAGAACCTGCAAGATGAGATGATGGACATGATGGATATGAGTAACGAAATCCAAGAGACCTTGGGCATAAGCTATAATGTGCCTGATGACATTGATGAGGATGAACTCATGGGCGGTAAGCTTTGATCTCATCTAAAGACACAAGCATGGGCTTTAAATTTTATTTCCTTGGTTACTTCTGTATAATTTGAGAGAAGTATTGAAGATTTTGTTTTACCCGTATGGATGGAATAAGACTGATAGAAATTGGTGTTGGCATCTTTATTATTGGTACTATTAGTCTTTTTGCAAAATAATAACTTTTACAGCCCTGTATAATCAGTGGCAAAATCTTGGCTATTTGGGCCTGCACTTATCGTGTCATGTTTGAAAGACTTTAGGGACTGTTGAAACTGCATGTGATTTATGTGTTTCCTTACCCTTTATATTTTTAAGATGATTCATTTTGAGCTGCAGGACTTAATGCTCTCGCAGCAGACATGGGAAGTGAAGCTGATGGTATTCCCTCTTATCTTCAACCTGATAAGGAGGAACCGGACTTGGATGCAGAGCTCAATTTGCCTTCAGCACCTTCAGGATATACAGCTGCACCAGCTGGCAGGTCCAATGCCCAGGACAACCTTTTTCCTTGCAGTTTTAGTCAAGTTTTAAAGCATCTAATACAAGAATTTTACAGCTTTTTGTTTTACATAGGCATAGTTGTGTGCTTAACAATTGGGACATTTGTACTATCGGTCCCATTATTTCTTTACTCTGCGTGCAATAATATGCATATTTTGTTCAAACTTGTAAATTTTTCTTCTTTTTTTTTTTTTCAATATCATTTAGGGTCCACGTCACTACTTCTTTCCCTATTTTGACAACATGACAAATTTATGTTTCAAATGACATTAAGATAGTGCTTAACAATTGGGATATTTGTACTATTGGTCCCACTATTTCTTTACACTTCATGTTATATATATGCATATTTTGTTCAAACTTGTCAATTTTACTTTTTCTTATTTTTTTAATATTGTTGTAGGGTCCACTTCATTGCCACTTTCCCTATTTTAACAACATGACAAATTTATGTTTTCTAATGAGCTCCTGTAATTTATAGTAGTTATAATTGGTTTTTAGAGATGCTGAAGTATCAATATGTTGAGATTGGTTTTGCATCTGTCTCGGTTATCTGTATTTAAGCAAACATTGATGCTTAGCAGGGTGAGGATGAACTTGGTTTGCCTACTGTTCCTCGAGCATCTGTCCGTGGTTAGATGGTCTGCTTCTATGCATTATTGCACGCAAATAGGAGGTAGGTGGACAGAGCATGCCCATGTAAACATATTGTGCAGAAGTAGCTTCCACTGGTGCTGCTATTTAATTGATTTAAATGGGTTGGGGTTTATAATAATCATTGCTGCATCAATTTTATGAAGGGGTTAAAATTGTTTTAATTGGAATATTCATGTATGATCACACTGCATGATGAAACCTTATGATGAATGTAGTATTTGGTTGACACGAAATATTGCTGGTTTGTTTTAATCAATGTATTCTTTCGTTTGTCTGATGATTTTGATTGAGAACTAAATAAAGCTTGCAATGTTGACGTGGGAGATTGCATGATTGATGTGTTCTGTTTAAACGGTAATGCTAATGTTGACTCTTTTTCTGCCTATTTCGTCACATTTGAAATGAGTTTTCTTTCATTTTGGATGGTAATGCTTTTGCAAAGTTTGCTTCTTTCCTTCTAAATCATGCAAGTAGTGGTGATAAAAAGACAACAAACGAGTTAAAAGAGAGATGGTGCGACTTGAAGTAAAAAAGATTACAGGAAATCTGGTGTGATTTGAAAATGTCCTTACGTAATTCTAGCTTTACGGGGATCCTTGTCTTCTAAAGGCAGTGGCTTCACATCCCTTAAAACGTATTTGACATAAATTATTGGGTTCTGGCAATAAATGTTGGTTTTCAGTCAGAATCTTCACGATAGAGGCGAAGACAAGGTAATAAAAAGCTGGTGGTGTAGGTTTCAAAATGCTCCATTGTAATGGGCGTCAAAGCACTGCAAATGTTCGGACTGATACGTCGATCTATTCGTTTTTTTTTTTGGTTAATATATGTATATATATTTTTTATGCTAAATGTGTAAATTATGAAAATTATCATATCATAATTTGTTTTGATGCATCAACATGAAATATATATTTTTTTATTTTTATCAAATTTATATATGATCTTTTAAAAAATTTTAAATTATTATTTTTATAATTTTTAATATTATTTTTATATTATATTATATTATCGTATTTTAAATTATCAGATCTATTTTGAATTTAAATTATTAATCAATGTTAGTCAAAACACTACTTAAGGGAAAATAAGAAAATAAACTAGGGATATCATAAAGTAGGAGAAAGATAGATGAAATTTTTTGCATGAAGTTCGCATAAGTTCTTTATTAAAAATGATTAAATAAAAATAAAAAATTAAAATTAAAATCAATAGATCAAATATATAGGTTAAATGCATAAAATTTGAAAAAATTTAATAAATTTTTATATACTTTTTAGATGGACTTTTTTAATGAAAATTTTGATGATTTTTATCATTAAATAAGTATTATCAAATTTGTATTATAAATTGTATTTTTATTTTTTTCACATACTATTGATCTGTTCATTGAATCTTATCAATCTATCAATTTAAATTTTTTATTAAAGTTTTTATTAAATTATTTTTAATTAAAAAACTCTACAAACTTCATTTGAGTTTGGCAGTTAAAACATTACTTGATATTTGGTAATCTCAAATATATTTTTCTGATGTTAATGATGGGTTAGAAATACAAATATATTTTTCATGTCTACTACATGTACTCACATGGCATGGTTTAATTAAAAGTATCTTTTGTGACTTATATATGTCAAAATTTATGTCAATATAATTAAATATAAAATACATTTTTTAAAAATTTATACGAGTTTTTAGTATAATTTTAATATCATGTCCTTCTATCATGTTTAAATTTGTCAAATTTAATAAAATCACATATTTTTATTTATATAAAATTAATTTTAAATTAAAATATACAAATATTTATATTTATTTTTAAAATATTATTTTTTATTTTTTATATTTTAACAAAATTATAATAAATTTGATTTGAACTCGATTAAATAATCTATTTAAATACAATGTAATTTGCTTCTAAAAATTGATAAATTGAGCTCGATAATCTGAACTTAAATGTTTCAAATCAAAATAATTTAAATGTCAAATTTAAAATATTCAAATTAAAATTATCTAAACTTAAATTAACCGAAATAGTTCAAACACAAAATGACTCGAAAACGTTGATCCAACTATTTCCAATCCACTCGTTCAAATGATAGGTCTGAATTCACGTACAATTGTTTGTTTGCTGATCATTGAACCTTGAAACTTCGTTAGCAATCCCTTGGAAAAGCTTGGGTTGCGCTTTTTTTTTTTTTTTTAACATTTAGTAGATACTTGGTAAATTCGTTGCCTTTTTTGAAAGGAAAGAAGATATTTTATTAAGAAGATTAAAGTACCAGCTTCATAGAGTTGGGACTATCTTTGACTTAGTTGGCATTTTCCAAGTTGCCATATGAAATTGTCTCCAACGTTAGCCTACTAATTAAAATGCTATAAATAGGAACTCTGTAAATTGCTTGATGTCATGCTCTTTTAGGATTCAGGGTTTTTTTTTTTTAGCCTATAGCTCCACATTTGATGTGCGGGTTATTGATTCGATTTAGAGTTTTTATAAGAAATATTATTCGAGTAGAATTGTTAGAAGCTAAAATAATATTGGCTAAATTTTAATACTGGAGTGTTGTGAAATGTTTAAAACTATTTAATAGCATATTTGTATATTTTTAATAAATAAAAAATAAATTTTGATAGTATTTTTATATATTTAAAAAAAATCAGTTATTAAATTAAATCATATGTTTTTATGCTAAATAAATAGAAAAGATAAAAGGATATTTTTATTAATTAAAATAAAAAATTAATGAAATCAATAAAAAAAAATTAGATAAAACACAAAAACGGAATGTGAAACAATTTGTAAATTATCGAGAGTAAAGTGAAAATGTAAAAAAAAGTTTATTAAAATATTTAATTTATAATTTTATCTTAAAGATTTAAGTATACTTTTTGCATAACCTGAAAATGTTAAAAATTAAAGGACCAAACAGTTGATTTTGCAATAGATAAACATGTTTACAACCTAAGCCAAACACACGTAACATAAGAACCTGGAAGCGCTCAAGCAAAAGCTGCCAAAAAAAATCTCGTCAATCTATAGTTCAGTATTCTATCCTGACATTTTTTTTCTCCAGATTTGTTGATTGTTTCAGTGAAATTGTGTGGACGAGGATGATGAAACGGTGGCTTTGTAACATTCCCTTTTCTAGGTGGAGTATTTAAGCATCACATTTCGCAGGAAGAGCTGGAATAAATCTTAGTAGTCATTGTGATTTGTTGATTGTCCCTCTCTAAATCATGTCCTGGTAAGAATCCGAAACTCGATTGCAGCAGTGAAGTCGGTTTTTCTTTTAAACACATAACTATTTGTTAAGCTTAGTCATCTAGTCAATAAGGTTAATTTTCACGTTTATCAAATCAATACACATTCGATTACCGTATTAAGATTTTTAAATGTGTACCAGACTAATTCATGTGAACACTCTTCAAACTCCACATAAATTTTCATCAGCTATCACTTGCTTTGACCTTATCACCGCCTAACACTACCTATAAACGTCAGAAGATTTAGGAACATTCATTCTGAGTCCTTTATTCTTAAACTTTGCAATTCAATCTTCTTCCTCCAAAAACCCTAACACATATAAATGACTCGAGTATCGGAGCACGCCCCAACTCGCAAGCCTCTTCCCATGTTGCTGACCCTCAAGCTAAACTTCTTTTATCTGTACTCTCTTCTCGAAGTTTTGATTTTCCTTCTGAATCATATCCTATCTTGCTCAGGCTTCTTTATATTTGGGTCAGGAAGTCTGTCAGGCCATCTACTGTGCTCATTGATTCAACCGTGGATGTCCTTTCTCGTGTATTTGCTACTGAATTTGGTTTAAAGAAAACCCCTTCACTTCTTCCAGAAGGTGTTCTTTTGGTGTCCATTTTATTTGCGCCTCCTGTGTCTGAAAGCTCCAAAAAAGTGTGCGTGGAGTTGCTTTGTAGGCTTTTGGAAGAAGATCACCGATTGGTTAGGTCAGGACAAGAAATTATCTCGGATGTGCTTGCAGGGATTGGATATGCATTATCTTCTTCTGTGGATGTTCATCTTGTTAGAGTTTTGGATTCTTTATTGGGAATCTGGGGAAAGGAAGATGGGCCCTCCAGTACAGTTCCTACTGCACTCATAATCCTGCATTTGGTTGAATGGGTTGTGTCTGGTTACATAAAATCACTTTCGTTTAAGAAAATTGAAGTTTTTTCACAGGGTACTTTAGGGATTCTGAAGGCAAACTATGTCTCATTTGCTCTTGTTATGGTTGCAGCTGGAATATTGAGAGCTAGTAGACATGCAGCTAATGGCCAGGGGCTAGAGAATGTTTCCACATTAAGGACTTCTGCAGAAAATCGAATAGTCTTTACAGCACAAAATTTGATTTCTAAAACTAAAGGATTTGTAAACTCGGACTTTGATCCCACAAACAGTCTTCTTCTACAATGTTTGTGTAATACCTATAAAAAAAAAAAAAAGGACTATTTTAAGTATTTTTATAAGTGGAGGGACTCTTTAATGAGGAATAAAAAATACATAGGACCTATTGATAAATAATCTAACTTTTAATAGGGTTAGCATCTACCACTTGTTTGACCGACAATTGATCGAGAAAAAAAGAGGGGCTGATTTCTCCTCTTTCTTATACAAAATAGACAAGTCAAAGAATTTTAAGTGAAGAGTAAAAACAAATTCTTCAATGAGAGTTGTCTTTCAAAAGTGAGTAAATAATTTCCTTTAATTTTAAAAAAATAATGTCGATTGTTAAGTATTGATATTTAACTTGTAATCGAGAAACCCTAAAATTTTAGGAAATCTATTATTCCTCTTCAAGATTGGTTTGGGCAAATCATTTAGATTTTAATCAGGATCTAATAAAGTGTTGAGAAAGTTTAGTAATGTGATTTTTTTGTTATAAAAATAGGAAACATAAATTTGATGGGGCTAGAAAGGAAAATTTTTGTTTCGCATAAACTCTGGTGTTTACAATGGTAGATTAAGATAATATTCTATATTAAGGGATAAAATATTGCTATGGTTATTATATATCGTTGGAAAGCTTGTTGAATTTACTGTCCAATGAAATAAAACAGAAGTCAATTCCAAGTTTTTTATGAAAAGTAGTTTATTTTTACTTAAAGATGTGCAAGCTGTATAGTAGCATCATCAGGGTTGAATTACGAAAATTATCTTAAATTTTATTCAAAGAATTAAGAATTAAGCCATACATGTTTGAAAACATTTTTGAGTCTACTTTCTAACGAAATTAACGAAATTCAATTTAGAGTCTCGTATGAATAAATATGTAATTTTTATTAGAAGGTATACGTGTTGTCTGGCAATAGCATATGATGTGGATTGCAAAAATTATTATAATTAATTTACAAGGAATTACAAGATGGACCATATATGGTTAGAAAGCTTATTGAGTGAGTTTCTAGCACATTAAATTGATCTTAATTTTGAGTTGGATATCTTAAGATATGGCTATTTTAGTGAAAAAAGCTCAGGCTATCAGTATTAATTAATTGAGTTAACCCTTGTTTAACATAATTGCTTTTGGTATCATCGATCTCGAAATGGGTTGATTAATTTATATTATATTGAAATTATCTTGAATAGGGCGTCAATTATTTTGAGGGAAAGACTAAGCGGTGGAATCGAAAGGAAGTAAGTAGAATCTCACACACTTTGCCTATTTTCGAACCTATATTTTTGTATATTTCTAAATGAGTAAATGATTTATTTCTTTATATTTTATATATGAAAATAGGATCAAGCACATGATTATTTCGTGTTTTTGTTATGTAAATGATGGGTCACGCTTA